TTTTGAGGGTTGTCTTTTCGTTTTGTTTATGGTTTCCTTTGCTGTGCATAAGATTTTAAGTTTCATTAGGTCCCATTGTTTATTTTTGTTTTTGTTTCCATTTCTCTAGGAGGTGGATCAAAAAGGATCTTGCTGTGATTTATGTCATAGAGTGTTTTGCCTATGTTTTCCTCTAAGAGTTTTATAGTGTCTGGCCTAACAATTAGATCTTTATTCCATTTTGAGTTTATTTTTTGTGCATGGTGTTAGGGAGTGTTCTCATTTCATTCTTTTAGATGTACCTGTCCAGTTTTCCCAGCACCACTTATTGAAGAGGGTGTCTCTTCTCCATTGTATATTCTTACCTCCTTTATCAAAGATAAGGTGACCATATGTGCGTGGGTTTATCTCTGGGCTTTCCGTCCTGTTCAATTAATCTATATTTTTATTTTTGTTCCAGTACCATACTTACTTGATTACTGTAGCTTTGTAGTTTAGTCTGAAGTCAGGGAGGCTGATTCCTCCAGCTCTCTTTTGCTTTGTCAAGATTGCTTTGGCTATTCAGGGTGATTTATGTTTCCATACAAATTGTGCAATTTTTTGTTCTAGTTCTGAGAAAACTGCCAGTGGTAGTTTGATAGAGATTGCATTGAATCTGTAGGTTGCTTTAAGTAGTATAGTCATTTTCACAATGTTAATTCTTCCAATCCAAGAACATAGTATATCTCTCCATCTATTTGTATCATCTTTAATTTCTTTCATCAGTGTCTTATAGATTTCTGCATACAGGTTATTGTCTCCTTAGGTAAGTTTATTGCTAGGTATTTTATTCTTTTTGTTGCAATGGTAAATGGGAGTGTTTTCTTAATTTCACTTTCAGATTTTTCATCATTAGTGTATAGGAATGCAAGAGATTTCTGTGCATTAATTTTGTATCTTGCTACTTTAGCAAATTCATTGATTAGCTCTAGTAGTTTTCTGGTAGCATCTTTAGGATTCTCTATATATAGGATCATGTCATCTGCAAACAGTGACAGCTTTACTTCTTCTTTTCCGTTTTGGATTCTTTTTATTTCTTTCTCTTCTCTGATTGCTGTGGCTAAAACTTCCAAAACTATGTTGAATAATAGTGGTGAGAGTGGGCAACCCTGGTTTTTTCCTGATCTTAGAGGAAATGGTTTCAATTTTTCACCATTGAGGATGATATTGGCTGTGGGTTTGCCATATACGGCCTTTATTATGTTGAGGTAAGTTGCCTCTAAGTCTACTTTCTGAAGGGTTTTTATCATAAATGGATGTTGAATTTTGTCAGAAGCTTTTTCTGCATCTATTGAGATGATCATATGGTTTTTCTCCTTCAATTTGTTAATATGGTGTATCACATTGATTGATTTGCATATACTGAAGAATCCTTGCATTCCTGGGATAAACCCCATTTGATCATGGTGTACGATCCTTTTAATGTGCTGTTGGATTCTGTTTGCTAGCATTTTGTTGAGGATATTTGCATCTATGTTCATCAGTGATATTGACCTGTAGTTTTCTTTCTTTGTGACATCTCTCTCTGGTTTTGGTATCAGGGTGATGGTGACCTCTTAGAATGAGTTTGGGAGTGCTCCTTCCTTTGCTATATTTTGAAAGAGTTTGAGAGGATAGCTGTTAGCTCTTCTCTAAATATTTGATAGAATTCACCTGTGAAGCCATCTGCTCCTGGGGTTTTGTCTGTTGGAAGATTTTTAATCACAGTTTCTATTTTAGTGCTTGTGGTTGGTCTGTTCATATTTTCTGTTTCTTCCTGGTTCAGTCTCAGAAGGTTGTGCATTTCTAAGAATGTGTCCATTTCTTCCAGGTTGTCCATTTTATTGGCATAGAGTTGCTTGTAGTAATCTCTCATGATCCTTTGTATTTCTGCACTGTCAGTTGTTATTCTCCTTTTTCATTTCTAACTCTATTGATTTGAGTCTTCTCCCTTTTTTTCTTGATGAGTCTGGCTAATGGTTTATCAATTTTGTTTACCTTCTCAAAGAACCAGCTTTTAGTTTTATTGATCTTTGCTATCATTTCCTTCATTTCTTTTTCATTTATTTCTGATCTGATCTCTATGATGTTTGTCCTTCTGCTAACTGCTAACTTTGTTTTTTTTTTTTTTTTCGTTCTCTAATTTCTTTAGGTGTAACGTTTGATTGTTTATTTGAGATGTTTCTTGTTTCTTGAGTTAGAATTTTATTGCTGTAAACTTCCTTCTCAGACCTGCTTTTGCTGCATCCCGTAAGTTTTGGGTCGTTGTGTTTTCACTGTCATTTGTTTCTAGGTATATTTTGATTTCCTCTTTGATTTCTTCAGTGATCTCTTGGTTATTAAGTAGTGAATTGCTTAGCCTCCATGTGTTTATATATTTTACAGATTTTTTTCCTATAATTGATATCTAGTCTCATAATGTTGTGGTCAGAAAAGATACTTGATACGATTTCAATTTTATTAAATTTACCAAGGCTTGATATGTTACCCAAGATATGATCTATCCTGGAGAATGTTCCATGAGCACTTGCGAAGAAAGTGTATTGGTTGCTTTTGGATGGAATGTCGTATAAATGTCAATTAAGTCCATCTTGTTTAATGTATCATTAAAAGCTTGTGTTTCCTATTTATTTTCATTTTGGATGATCTGTCCATTGGTGAAAGTGGGGTTTTAAAGTCCCCTACTATGATTGTGTTACTGTTGATTTCCCCTTTTATAGATGTTAATATTTGCCTTATGTATTGGGGTGCTCCTATGTTGGGAACATAAATATTTACTATTTTTATATCTTCTTCTTGGATTGATCCCTTGATCATTATGGAGTGTCCTTCTTTGTCTCTTCTAATAGTCTTTATTTTAAAGTCTACTTGTCTGATATGAGGATTGCCACTCCAGCTTTCTTTTGATTTTCTTTGGCATGTAATATCTTTTTCCATCTCCTCACTTTCAGTCTGTCTGTGTCCCTAGGTCTGAACTGGGTCTCTTGTAGTCAGCATATATATGGGTCTTGTTTTATATCCATTCAGCCAGTCTGTGTCTTTTAGTTGGAGCATTTAATCCATTTATACTTAAGGTAATTATCTATATGTTTGTTCCTATTACCATTTTCTTAATTGTTTTGGGTTTGTTGTTGTAGGTCTTTTCCTTCTCTTGTGTTTCCTGCCTAGAGAAGTTCCTTTAGCATTTGTTGTAAAGCTGGTTTGCTGGTGCTGAATTGTCTTAGCTTTTGCTTTGTAAATGTTTTAGTTTCTTCGTCGAATGTGAATGAGATCCTTGCTGGGTAGAGTAATCTTGGTTGTAGGTTTTTCCCTTTCATCACTCTAAATATGTCCTGTGATCTCCACGGCTTCCTCTTCCGCCATCTTGAAGCTCTTCTGATTAAATAATTTTTAAGGTGCTTAGTTATTGTTCTTCTAGTTGTCAGTCTGAACTCAGGTTTGTTAGTAATCTAGCCATAGCATGAAGTGCATCTCTTAGGTAAAGCTTTTAACTGACCTATAATGAGGCATACAGTCCAGTGAACACTACAGTTACTTGATAAAGATCCATAATTGAAGATGATGATAAATTTTAACAGTATAAGTATCATAGAGCTCTTAAGAGTCCTAGAAATATTGCTAAAAATAAGATTTGTAAATTAATGAGATAAGGAATCTTAAAAAGAGAACCCCATTTACAACTTCCTAAGCATAACTTTTCATATATTCCATTTTTGTCTTCTAACACGTGTGATACTGAGCTTTCAAAAAAAGTCAGTGGAGAGAAATGAGTGTGATTTTGCCAACAATTGAAGACATGAGCTTAGGTCAATGCACAAAAATCTCACCTAAAAGTAACTATCCAAAATGGTATTTCTCCCTTGTTTTAAAAATTTCCTGTAGTTTTATTTATTGTGCATAGTAGCTCAATTTATCCCTTCCACTGAAATTATCTTAGATTTGTATCACTTGAAATCTGTGATTTTTTTTCAAAGTTTGTATTATGAACCCATTCTTTCCTGACTTTTTTCCCATTGATTCTTTTTTTTTTTTTTCTTGTTGTGATCTAGGCAAATTGTCTCCAATGAGACAAATGTTTATAAGATAAAGAAGATGCTGCTTGATGAGTTTCATGAATATGTTATAATTTCCCTGAATTTTCCCTGACTTGTATTAGTCAATATCTTAAAATAATAATGGAATCTAATTTGAAAGATACATAACCATAACATGTTTGAGGATACCAATCTATTCTTTTAAGAGTTTGTTGAAAGGCTCACTTAGGAATTTCAGAAAAGCCCAGGGCAGGTGGCTTATTATTTATATCAACCTTCAGATACAGATTTTTCTGAAAGACGATATTTTTCCACAATAATATAAAATATTGTTGAGTGTGAGGAATAGAACTTTCTTCAATAAAGATTCTAAATATGTTTATTCAGAATGAGATCATTCCCTGTTAATGTGTCACCCCATGAAGTACATTTCTCATAATACTGACAACTTATAGAAAATATTAGGCCTTAGGAAATGAATTACAGAGTAGTTTCTTCTGAAGACATCAATTTTTGAGATGGGTAAAAAGCAAGACTATTATGTTAAATAGTGATATAAACTATAATATTTAATAAATGAGACTATCCCAGCTATCTGAAAGGTTTCTATGTATAGTTACCAACCTGTCTTTCACATGGAAAATATTTGTGTTATTATTATGAATATTGTATTCCCTATGTCTATAATTTGGAATGGTATGTTTACTCAGTCTTAGCTTGATTAACTTTTGCCTTATTTTTTCCAAGTTTGTACTGTATTTTTAAGCTTATAATGTGATTGTTTCTTAAAAATAATTTTATAGAGGAATGGGTTTTTTAAAAAAACATAATGTTCAATAAAGCAAGTATGAGTGAAATAAATTATTTACTTTCAGTTTGGAAGAGGTGAATAAAAAGTGCTTGGCCAATATCGTACCATTAATCTATTCTCTTTTCTCCTCTCTCTCTTTACTTCTCTCTCTCCAATAGAAGTGGAACAAAAAGGTAATTAAATACCTTTCATAAATTATATACTATTTATAGGCTAAGTTATTTAACAGTTTAACATCTAGTTAAAATAATTTTGTTATTAATTCTTATCTATTTTATGAAAATTTATTTACTACTTCTGCTGCTCAACTTCACTTTAGTCTGTTGTACTGACCAGTGCTGGTTTGATTTTTTTAATCCTAAAACAGTTTAATAGTGTAAAATTTTCAACCGTGCATTCTATTCCTCTTTATTTAAGCAGATAGAAAAACGGTAGATGGTTTTGGATAGTAACTGCTTTAGATTTGTTTTTATTTCTATACTAGATAATTTTCCATAGCTCTGGTGTGGTTCCCCTGTTCCTTTAATTTTTAACTATTAGGGGAAAAGGGGAGGTGGTTTTCTAAAATATCTTAAAATAAATTGCTTTAGTAACCAAGGGCTGATTATTAACCAGCATAAAGTTTATATACAATTTTGACAATAATACCTACCAATCGTTTATAATTATAGACATCATATTAGAATCCTGAGAAATTCTTCTAATAATCAATTTTATTGTCGACTATAATTTGATGATGGCCCTCTATCCTTGCTATGGAAGATTTTGATAGTTAACTTTTCCCCTAAACTTTTCATTTTTCCAAAATTAAAACTTTGGGCATTTTAATAATGTACTTTCCTTTTTAATAATCTGTAAACCCTAGCTGAGTTTCATCTTAGATTATTTTCCATTGGATGTAGGTTTATAGTTGTTGTTAAAGAGCTAATCACTAATATCAAGAGAATAATACTTTAATCATTAAAATATGGGTCAACATCCAAATTTCTTGTGATTTCCTAATTTCTCCTCCCAATACACTTCTAATCATTTCAAACATAACAGTGGACTACATGATTATTTTTCAATGTGTTTTCTCTGCAAAAATATTGGAGCACTGTTTCCCATAACAGGTTCAGCAGAACATTACACCCCATCAGGCTCTGTAGAAAGGGTTCCATGATCAAATTAGTTTGTGAAATTTTCTCACCCTCCCCACTTCCATCTTGGAGATTCACTAATGTACCTCAGCTATTAGAATCCTGGTATTATGTTTCATATGATATTTCTTAAGCACAGATGGCTAGGGATCCCTGTTTTTTTTCTGTGTAATATGTGGCTAAACCACTTAAAACAGGTGCTTCAATGACCTCCCTTTGGGAAACATTGCTTTTTAGCCCCTTCATTACAGATGAATCGGCCAAGTTGTTTTTTTTTTTTTTTTTTTTTTTACCACCACTCATATGATGTGCTACTGAATCATACTAAAAATCAACTGAATCAGATAATTCCTGCCCATTTTCAGTCTGAAGTATGAGCAGCAAAATATTGTAGCAAGTAATCTTGTTTTTTAATGTTCTTCTCATGTAACAGTAAAAGGTACATGTTTTTAAGTTCCAATACTACTGTATTTAACAGGACATTTTTAACTGATTAAAATCTAGATCTTGGGTTCTTCTCTGTAACCTTTCACCTTTTCTTCTTTCCTTATTCCTTCTTTCCTTTCTTTTTCTGCCTTTCTCTTTTTCCTTCCAGTATCCATCCATCACTCATTTTTAATTGTGTGGGTTGCATGCTCTGTGTGTGCTACAGCAGCTTTAAGAGCTTTTTACCTAGAAGGCTCAGTGGCCTGTATTACAGGGCTTTTCTTTTCCCTTATTATTATATTTTAATTACTATTGTATTTCCATATGCTTCTTAATAAGTATAGAATAGTTCACAGCATCAGAATGAAAACAATATCTTTAAAAATTCCAATTAATATATATAAAACCATCACATATAAAAATTTATATTTGTTATATGTCTATAGAATACATAGACATAAGTCACAATTATATATGTAGCATATCCAAAATTATTGTAAGACACTTGCAAAGGTAAAGAGCAAAGGAAAGCACAGCCACTCTTTAAAAGGCCAAAGTTTTTCAGCAAATGAAATCAAAATGATTATGAACAAATGTCAAAATTAATGTGGACGACTACTTTATGTTCTCAGAAGAATACAGCAAAATAATTAAGTGGTGGTGGGTATTTCTTGTTAGAGTTGAATTCCATTTGGTGAAAAATAAGAATATATGACAAAATATTAAAATTAATACATTTATTATTTTGACTCTTTCCCTTCCAACAGTTTTTCTTTGTCCTGGACTACTAAAAGGAGTATACCAGAGTGAACATTTGTTTGAGTCCGACCACCAATCTGGGGCATGGTGCAAAGACCCTCTGCAGGCTTCTGACAAGATTTATTATATGCCCTGGACCCCCTACAGAACTGATACCCTGACTGAGTACTCATCCAAGGATGACTTCATTGCTGGAAGGCCAACTACAACCTACAAGCTCCCTCACAGGGTGGATGGCACAGGATTTGTAGTGTATGACGGAGCTTTGTTCTTCAATAAAGAGCGCACCAGGAACATAGTAAAGTTTGATTTGCGGACTAGGATAAAGAGTGGAGAGGCTATCATAGCAAATGCCAATTACCATGATACCTCCCCTTACCGTTGGGGAGGCAAATCTGACATAGACCTTGCAGTGGATGAGAATGGGCTATGGGTAATCTATGCAACAGAACAAAACAATGGTAAAATTGTCATTAGTCAGTTGAACCCTTACACCCTGCGGATTGAAGGGACATGGGATACTGCATATGATAAAAGGTCAGCTTCCAACGCATTTATGATATGTGGGATTCTGTATGTGGTCAAATCTGTATATGAGGATGATGACAATGAGGCCACAGGGAATAAGATTGACTACATTTACAACACCGACCAAAGTAAGGATAGTTTGGTGGATGTACCCTTTCCCAATTCATACCAGTACATAGCAGCTGTGGATTACAATCCCAGGGACAACCTTCTTTATGTATGGAATAACTATCACGTCGTGAAATATTCTTTGGATTTTGGACCTCTGGATAGTAGATCAGGTAAGTTTGACTTTTGATGGTACTTTAAGGGGCAATATTTACAACTTGCTCTTAGTAAGTTGATTGTATATTTTGATTAGACATCCTTTTGTGGTCTTCTGGCCTGTGCATTGAAAGTTATTCATTGTCTTTTCAGCTAAAAAAATTGTTGCTGTTAATCACTTTCAACTTTAAAAAAATATAGGCATAAGAAACTGACTCTTCCTCCTCTGTGCAGCTAGTCTCCAACCTTCAGCCCTTATTTGAAGGGCATTTTCATTATCAGCTAGTTAGTTCTTTGTGTAGTGAAGTACACAAAACCTTTGCAAAAATAGAATGCCATCCCGTCTAATTAATTGTGACATGCCCTGCGAAGTGCTCTCTACTTGGAAAATGTCGAAGGGTTGGCTTGATATAATTCTTCAGGAGGCCTGCACCAATATATTCAACTCACCAAGAGCATCATATATGACCACCCCTACTGGGAATATTGTCGGTTTGACTGTACATATGTCTGAGTGTATCTAATTAATACATACAGAAAAATGTTCATAACTGATACAGACAAAAAAATAGATCTCAATTTTATAAGAAACAGCAGTGCAAAACTCAGCTTTGAAAAAAAGGAGACAAGCTTTAATTCCCATTCTTTAAAATTGTATTTTTCCTCTCTAGGACATACTGTTTACTTTTAATATTATTTAAAGACAGTCATAAATTGCTTTATCTTTTACATTTCTATTTGCAAAAATGAGCAGAATTATCTTAGTCTAGAAGTTAAATTATTTTAACTAGCAATAATATTGTTCCTCCTGATAAAGTATAATGGAAAAGTAAGATATAGGTGTCCGAATTTTGATAGTAACATAGCAATTCATAGTTTAATTTTTTTCTTCTAGTGCTTACATGTTAATATTTCTTATTTTCTGCATTGCTTTTACCTTGCTTTTACTAGCATGTCATTCTGCTTACTAACTTACTTCACTATATACATATCTTCTTATACAATTAGATTCTAAGTGCCATAGAGCCAGTAATCTTGCCTTACCCATCTTTTTATTATTTTTCATCTGACCATTATTTCTGCCTTCTTAGACACTAGTGTCATATATGACATATAGAAAATAAAGGCTCAATAATTCTTTGTTGAATGAATGAATGGATGAATGAATGAATGCCTTTCCACTTCTCACTGTGATAGAATGTCAAATTGGGTGGCATTTTCTCTAATCCCTGTAAGAGTGACAGCAATTCTTTCCATGGCCAGCAATGCTGATATTATGTTGAATTGCTTTGTGTGGAAGGAGAAGCCTAATATACAACAGCAGCAAAAGCAACTTCTCCTTACTAAGTTCTCAAAAATCTCGTAGACCTGGCTAACCTCTGTACAGGTAAGGTTTCTCAATCCAACACATCCTTCAATTAAAAACCTAAGCAAATCATCTGGAATATTCTGGGAAGACAGTTCTTTCAGATCTGTGATGTTCTTAAATCAAAATTCATATTTTGGCAGTGAAAACTCTTGACGAGTGGTTCTTAGCCTTTTTTGACTTTTAATTGTAACTGGAGTAATTTCTAATTGCCTCCAAAGAAATAATATATAATAACTCACCATCTTTTAATGTTCGTGAATAAGGAGCAGTAACGTATATTCATTTTATTTATTGGAAAGATCATGCATTATTTTTGTTTAGAATAATAGATAGGTTAAAATTAATTAACATTCCAGGTTTTGATTTGATGGACTGAGGCAAATTCTTAGCTTAGTGTTTATAAATTATCCTTAAAGAAAATGATGATACCATAGCCTCATGTATTTAGAGACTTGCCAAAAAATATTTCTAACGTACATTAATAAAATTATGTGTGTATCCATATATATGATATCATTGTAATTGTGGACATAGGAAAATTATACCACTCATTTAATTTGTTTGTTTGATTATGGGAGTTAAATTATCAGCCACCTTGCCCACTTGTACTAGTGCTCCTATTTGTTAGAAGCATGTTTTTAAAGTGACAAACACTGAGAAATGATAAAGTTCAGCTTCTGAAACAAATTCCTAACTTAAGCCAGGAGATTCAGTTTTCACTCTTTTTAAATGACACTGAAGCTCTCTAATGTTTTGCAAAGAGTGAGATTTCAGCTGTATTAAATTTGTATATATAATCACAAGAAAAATTATCAATTTTCATGCATGAATGCTCAAATTAAAAAGCTAGTACTTTGGTGTGGACTTAGCAGTTTAGAGGTAGAAAGAATAAGTGTAGAATAATAATAAGTGTACATTTTATGCATGAATATGAGAATTTCAGTTAGCATTAATGGAGGCTGTTCACCTTATTCTACACAAAGTTTCAACTGAGTGTTTTTCTTTAGTATAAATTACATTGACATTTTTCAAAGAAATTTCCTTTAATGAATTCTTATTACGGATCTTCTTATGTGTCTATGTATGGAAACCAACTTAACTATAAATGCGTTAGGGTCAAAAAGACTAATTCTGACTAATTCTAAGTCCATAGATCTGCAGTATATTTTCTGTTGCCATCTGTTGGAAGCAAGCTGAGTATTTTTGCTCTGATTTCAACTGAGCTCTAATCATTGAAAAGTCACACTTTTGAAGTTTTTATGTAATGGGGTATCTGTGTTTTACTTCTACTGAATATTACTATTCTGTAAATTAAAAGATCTGGGTGTTAGAAGTTGAGACAAATATGTTCTCTGAGATGTATAAAAATCCTCAGGTGAAGCATCCTTGGAGGTGGCATACTGCTTCTGAACATGGATCTGGGAGCCTGAAGGACTTGTGTTTTAATTCTGCCTCAGGTGCTTGTTTGACTATAGGCAGGCTACTGAGCCTCTTGGTCTTAGTTTCCTCAACTATAAAATGGAAAAAAAAAATACCTATCTCGGAAATTATTGTTATGATATATGTAATAGGCATAGCAAAATTAACATAAAATCTACATGCCAACCCTACAAGGACCATTATTATCCATATCATCTGATTGAGGGGCTTAAGGCACTACAGCTCATATAATTTATTTAAAAATTACTCAGCTACTAAAATTCAGCCCAACTTGAGATTCATGCTCCCTTCCATGACACTAGTAGTGGAAAGTATGCCTACTGAAGCTATGTGTCTGGATGCATTCACTTGACAGAAGTGATCTCAGTATCCCCATGTGTCAGACACTCTGCAGATGCAAATCTAATTTGTAGTTCTCATGATTAGATAACTACCATAGATCTGCACTCCAAACAATTACCTCTATTTTTCAACGGTGAAATCATACTGTGTCAAGATTTGTTGAATAATTTAAGAAATAAATAAATGAATTTTATATATATATATATATATATATATATATATATATATATATGAAACCTTCTTTTTCAGCATATTATGGGAATGGGAGTATTAGTCCTAACATTTGTTTTATTAAGATTACATGTATGCTTCTCAGGTAGTCCTCTTCACAGTTTACCATGCAATCCTATGATCTGGAAGTGTTATGTCACCCCATTTATTCCCCACACACCACCCACACCTACTTCTTCTCTTCACTCAGATTGTAGCGATACTTGGTAACCTAAAGGAAGTTAGGTCTGTTAAAAAGTGCCAAAGCACTTTAACACCTAATGCACTTTCTTCCAGAAGAAGTAATTAGAGAAATTAGTCAGTATTTACAATGGGAAAGAAAATGAACAACTGTTCAATGAATTTTATTTTCGGAACCTATTCTCAAATTTTTTGGTTAATGAATTACAGGAATTTTTTCAACTTAGAGAAAATAGAAAGTGTATTCAAGTGAATAAGTGTGTTCCTTTGAAAATACATTTTGTGTGCAGAACAGGTGATTGATTTGGTTTTGGACACCAGTATCAAAAATGCCTGTAAGCATTAGCACCTGAGGATAAAGTAAATATGAAAGTGCTATTTTTTTTTTTCTGAGCAGAGAACTAGCAAATCTAGAATTTTTCTTAAATGTACTTTTATTTATTATTTTTTTTTGCGGTGTGCGGGCCTCTCACTGCTGTGGCCTCTCCCGTTGCAGAGCACAGGCTCCAGATGCACAGGCTCAGCGGCCATGGCTCACGGGCCCAGCCGCTCCGCGGCATGTGGGATCTTCCCGGACCGGGGCACGAACCCACGTCCCCTGCATCGGCAGGCGGACTCTCAACCACTGCGCCACCAGGGAAGCCCTCAAATGTACTTTTAACTGAGCCTTTTTCCTGTCCTATAAAATATGATAAAACTATACATTCATCATTGCTTCCAATTGGCTATCTTTTGTAAGATACACATTAAAAACCTCCAAACAATACTTAGCTATTTCACAAGTTATTTGAGTGATTCTCATGTCAGCATCATAATGCTAAAATTCTACCTGATATCCTGATATATCCGGTGTGAGGGAATTAAATAGTTGCTTTACTTGCCTTTAGTTAACTGGTGTTGAATGACTTTCACTCTTGAGTTCTTTCTGCTAAAGCACCTTGTGCTGAGTTCATTATTCATTGATAAAATAGGAGATGTGAGGTATTTTCTTTGACTCTTCCATTTTGTTTCTAAAGTGTCCACTGAATAATCCAAACATTCCTTGTCAAATATACAAATATTTTCCACTATTTCCTACTGAAGGAAAAAGTAGTAGGCTCAGGTTGATAATAAGAATAGACAGAGAAGCCCAGAGCCAAAATTTTTCTGAATTTAGTGTGTCTAACAGATCTAAAAATCTGTTGGTTGAGGTTTAGTGAAACACATCAAGCAGTCAGTATGAACCACAAATGATAAGGACATGTAGCTACTGTCTAGTGCCTACTCTTCTGCTTCCCAAATACAATCCACATTTTCTTGAAAGCCATTTGAGTTTATGTAAATGTAATCATTCTTGTATATGCTGAAGGTAGTAGACTCTAAAACCACAACAAAAAGCCTACACATAACAGTTTAACAATGCAGATAAGGTGAACCTTCTGTCCTTATAATATGCTAATTAAGTGCATCTGTGTC